TCTGGCACATCAATATCTATACTTATTTTCCATAATTTCTGTAGATATTAATATTAAGTATAATATGTATGACAAACTCATATGGTTTTCAATTTTATTACTTAATAATCGCTTAAAAATACGCCATATTCTGAAAATTCAGATGAACTTTGGTTCCTTATGATTGTTTTGTATATTTACATGTAATATACAAATACAATGAATACATGTACATATGTATGTATATGTATTCGTTTTTATATGCTGATATGAATGGAATGTGAGTACATAAAATATTTATTATAAATTTTTATGAGCTCAACTTGAAAATTTTCCAAGGAAATCTATTTAATAGCAACATTCTAAGTGTTTATTGATAAAAGAATTTCTAGAATTTACACATGTTGAATACAACAGATTGATTGTTACAGTGATGGACATACGTATGTATGTGTAAGTTAAAAGACTATAAGTGAAATGTGTGGATTTACAGTAAATTTTAAAACTAACTAAACTTATTTAGAACTACAAAGAAAACATAAATTATTTACATGTTCTTTACCACTGATTGATTTTGAAGCTTTTCTTTAAATAGCTTTTTAGTCGCTAAGTGCGTCGCGACAGAGATATGTATATTTACTTTTCGGACGGTATATAACAAACTAAAATTACTGTAGAGTGTCATAATGTCTATGTACGTTAGGTCATACTAAATTGAGTCATAGTGTCCATGGAAGTTATGACAATTTCAAAAGTGTTCAAATGTCTATGAGACAAATGACATAAAATCAATGGCCTTCAAAGAGTCCATTTATAAACAAGTAAGAAATTATAGTCGGGCGAGGCCGACCATATAATACCCTACACCTTTGACAAAAATATAATCTGATTTAGTTGCCATAATAAAGCATTTAAGTTGAATTGTACCTTGCCTTAGATATACATACTTAAGCCGTTTATTGTTGAATAAAATTGTGGACATTTAAGTGAAATTTTGATGGGGGCTTTTCATAGGGGCTAGGGTCATATGAGAACCTATTATTATGGAATTCGTGAGGGTCATCAAGTCCTGTATTCAACTTGGTTTTTGCAGCTTTTTGTCGAGATATGAGTGTATTAAATATAATTATGAACTTATAAGCCCTATTCGTCGGGTTTAGTTGTATGGGGGCTAGGTGAAATAATGGACCGATGTAAACCATTTTCAACAGGCTTCGTCTACGGTACCATAAAAGATCATGTGCCAAATTTCATTGAATTATCTCCAAAATTGCGACCTGTAGTTTGATTACAAGGTTTAAAAGCCCTATTGGGGGGTTCAGTTGTAAGGGGGCCAGGTGAAATAATGGACCGATGTTAACCATTTTCAATAGGCTTCGTCTACGATACTATAAAATACCATGTGCCAAATTTCATTGAATTATCTCCAAAATTGCGACCTGTAGTTTGATTACAAGGATTACAAGCCCTATTGGGGGGTTCAGTTGAATGGGGCTAGGTGAAATAATGAACCGATCTTAACCATTTTCAATAGGCTTCGTCCCTGGGACAATAGAAGATCATGTTCCAAATTTCATTGAATTATCTTCAAAATTGCGACCTGTAGTTTGATTACAAGGTTAACATGGACGGACAGACGAACGGACATAGCTAAATCGACTCAGAAAATGATTCTGAGCCGATTGGTATACATTAAGGTGGGTATAGGACCAATATTATCGTGCGTTACAAACATCAGCACAAACCAAATATACCCTCCCCACTAAAGTGGTGTGGGGTATAAAAAGGCTTAATTTTGCGAAGCCGATATTCGATATACCCTAGAGTTTAAAACTTCTGCGCCCAGCCGATGTGCGCCTATCCAGGACATTTTTTTAAAGGAATCCAAAACGTAATATACACCAAATTTAGGAGCAATTCCTTTCGGGATAAGAGTGTCCCTTTCCGAAATTCTAGACAAATTTTCCAATACGTTTCTGTGTCACAATATTCATGTACGTTATAGAACTTTCAAAATTTTCGTAATGTACATGGACTTTGTGACTCTTTAAAAACATAATCAACTTTTTTGAAATTATTCTCGTATGTCGAAACTGCTGGTATGATAAGGACAAAACTTTACATGGGTGTAGCTAAGGAGTAGTTCACCACAGCAGCTCCATGGAGGTGCTCAAATTAGGGCACCTTTGACATGTAAATTTAACAAATTGTTGTCATTTCTTTATTTCACATCCGATTTGAAAGATTTTTATATTTTCTGAAAGTGCTTAGCTAGGTTATAAAAAAGTATGATTACTCTTAACCTTTTGAATATACCCCCTATCAACACTTATGTTGATATATTATACATTAATATAAATAGAACAAGTAAGAAATTATAGTCGGGCGAGGCCGACCATATAATACTCTACACCTTTGACAAAAATATAATGTGATTTAGTCGCCATAATAAAGCATTTAAGTTGAATTGTACCTTGCCTTAGATATACATACTTAAGCCGTTTAAAGTTTAAAAGCCCTATTCGAGGGGTTCAGTTGTATAGGGGCTAGGTGAAATAATGGATCGATGTAAACCATTGGTGGTATGGTCAATTATAGATCGATCCTCGTAAAATTTTGTAGAACGATATTGGTTCATATACGTCATGTTTATATCGAATTTCATCGCTTTACTCGGTTTTTAGGCCAGTAATGAGCCTTAAAATAATTTTCAATTCAATCAATTGTGGACTGATCCACATAAAATTTGGTAGAGAGATTTTTGCGAGTCTAAAACTTACTTCTGTGAAATTTCATCGCTATACTCGTATTTTTAAGCCAGTAATGAGCGTTAAAGTAATTTTATGAAGATAACCTTATATGGAGGGTAGGGTCAATTATAGACCGATCCACATAAACTCGTATTTTTATACTCGTATTTTTATGCCAATAATGAGCGTTAAAGTCATTTCTGAAGGGGACCTTATATGGGTGGTAGGGTCAATTATGGACCGATTCACATAAAATTTGATGGAGAAATATTGAAACTTATGTGTTTCGAATTTCATCGCTATATTCGTATTTTTAAGCCAGTAATCAGCATTATAGTAATTTTCTAATAGGGATATTATATGGGGGGTAGGGTCAATTATGGTCCTATGTCCGCCATAAGTCAGAATTTAATTTCGGAAGTAAAAAACCTTACTTATGCGAAATTTTGTGGCATTTGCTTCATAAACAACGAATTTGTGAATGTTTAAAGCTTTTTGCACAATATTCCGCGGAGGGTACATTTGTATGGGGGCTATGTGAAATCGTTGACGGATTTTGCCCATTTTCAATACCAAACATTTCTGACCAATAAGGAATAGTTTGGCAAAATTCCTATCTCGTTTTCTGTGGACGCTATCGTGCCAACAACAGACAGACTTACGGACATATCTAGATCGTCTTAAAATCTTACGAGGTCCCAGAATATATATACTTTATGGGTCTGTGAACAATATTTCGATGTGTTACACACGGAATGACAAAATTAATAAAAAGATTGTTCCGTTAAATTACTGCGACCGAAAATTTAGCATACCAATTGATGAGTTATGTAGTTACGCCGAAGTATGGCTGTAAAGATTAGCAGACAGCAACAAATGTATAACTTTATTATTTGATTTTTTTATAGATGGATTTTAAGATTACGCGTGATAATTTTTTCTAATGTCGTAAAATAAGAATTGCTAAGAGCATAAGATGATTTACTGCTGTACTAAAACATTTTTCTATAAAATATTTAGTAGAATCACAGTAAAGGTATTTTCAGACTACAATACTGAGTATTAATACTTGTCAAAAAATCATGTATTGTAATACAATTTTGTAGTCTAAATACAAATTGATTGATTGTGACAAAAAATACCTCTGATTCTTTTGACATACCGACCGTATTTTTAAGTTTTTGAAAAATTTCAAAAATTTCTGATTTTTCATATGTATCAAAGTTGCATTTAAAAACCAAACGATTGAAAATTTTTCCTTTTAAAAAAAATAAACAGAAAAAATTAAAATTAAAAATACAGAGAACATCATGGAATTTATAAAGGTAAGAAATGAAAATTCAATATATTTATGTTCAATTGCTGAATTTTTTAAGGTTTTAGATCGAATGGACCAAAGATGTTGTATTAAAATTAATAAGCCTTTGGGAAGAAAAGAAGGTACTTTATAATACAAAGGATCCTCTGTACCACAACAAACACGCCAGAGCAAGTGCCCTTGAGGACATTTCAAAAAAGATGAACGAATTTGTTCCAAATATGACTCCAAATGAAATAAAGGTAAATTCCATCATTATAATATTGCAAACTTATAATTGTATACATATGTTTATTATTTTTAGACAAAGCTTAGTTATCTACGTTCACAATACGGGAGAGAGGTTTTATGTGCCCACCGCTTATTGGTTTGACCAGCTCCATTTCCTTAGAGATTTCGTGACTGTCAGAAAAGGAATATCAAGTTTACCAAAGGTATATGTATATTGAAATATATTCATACATAGTGAACATTTTGATTATATGTATATGTTTAGGATGTCGTTTTAAATTCTATGTCTGAAAATGAAGATCAGTTATCCCAAAATATGGTAATAACGGATAAATACATACGAATTTCTCCATTTGTTTTTATATACATATAATTATTTAAATAGAATTTCATCGAAGACATATCTGACTACAGAGAAGAGCCCTTAACAATTAAACGTAAAAAAGGAAATGATTCTGATACTACTTGCGATAGCTTACTGAAAGATGCAAGCAATATTATATCCGTCCTTAAGGAATCTTGTAACCAACCAAAATATGATGAGAGCCTAGTAAATTTTTTTAAAGCAAATATGGAAGAAATAACAGACAAAGATCTTAAAGATGAAGTCACTACAAAGGTCATGATTCTGTTATTTGAATACAAAAAGAAACAAAGACAATTAAATGTTAAACATTAAATTATGAAAATAAATCTTATTATATAAATTTGTGTTACAAAAATTAAAAGTTAAATTTATTGATGGATTGTTCCTGCCATGGAAGAATATCTACATTATTGAAGAAATTCGAAAATGTGTCTCTAATTTCTGAAGCTTCTTCAGCATAATTATTACCAGGTGCCTTATCTAAACTGCAAAGATCGATGATAGTTGTAGGAGGCTGTTCTTCGAAATCTCTAAGTATGAAATTGTGAAGGGCACAACAAGCCAATGTCACAATTTCAACTTTCTCAACAGGGAGATTAATTTCTTTAAAGAAAATTTGAAATCGGTTTGCCAGTATGCCGAATGCATTTTCGGCCACTCGACGTGCTCGTGACAAACGATAATTAAATATTTTATTTTCCTTTTTTTGTCTTTGGCTGTACGGCTTTAAGATTCTTGAAGACAATCTAAAGGCATCGTCGGAAACAAAAACATAAGGTACCTGTAATATTATATGTACATACACAGAGGGAAAAAGAAATATACACGCTTGGTACCAAATTGGCACCAAAGAGTTTGTAATTTTTCAACAACAACCGTTGTCAAAGTATATACATACGTACGACAACACTATGTCGCAACGTTGTCAACATTGCAACAATTCGTTGTCGAAATCTAAATTTTTTACACATACGTTGTCTAAATGTTAACAAACGTGGTAAGCTCACTATTGGCAACGGATTGTTGCCAATAGTTGGATTGTCGTACGTATGTATATACTTTGACAACGGTTGTTATTGAAAAATTACAAACAAACTCTTTGGTGCCAATTTGGTACCAAGCGTGTATATTTCTTTTTCCCTCTGTGTACATATTTTAACGGTATAAAAGTATGTATATGTAATGTGTGTAGTTACCTTAGTATTTGTACCTGGAAGTTCTTCGTTTTCAGGAAAGTTCAGAAAATTATTTTTAATGGCATTACCGATAGCGGAAGCATTAAAAGCTGCAGCGTCGTTTGCTCTACCTACGTCTACCATTATAAACCTATAATTTGCATCTACTATTGCTAATAAAATAATGCTGTTATATCCCTTATAATTATAATAGTAAGAACCATCCTTAGATTTTGCTCTAAAAGCAATATGTTTGCCATCTGAAAATTAGTAAAAAGTTACTTTTATATACTATATAGAAATCAATTTTTCATATTACCAATAGCACCTAGGCACATGGGAAAATTCCACTTGCGATAAAATGAATCAGCTACACGTTTCCATTCGGCCTGTGTAGTACACCCCTTAATTATAAATAAGCAATTACTAAAGTATTTGTAGAAACTATACATATATTTCACCATTTTTAACTAATGAGCAATTTAAAATTTTCACAAGGTTAAAGGTGGTGGATTATTTTATTAAAATCTTACTTTAAGATAGTCTTTTGCTAAAACCTTAATTATAGCATTCAAAGTATCTGGTACAAGTTGAGAAATAGAAGGAATTGAAACTCGAAATCCATATGATAAATCTGTATATGTGTTTCCTGTTGCCAAATAGCGGAGAGTTATTAGAAGCCTAAGAGTGCAAATATTTAATTATTAAGCATATGCATTTATTATATTTGAAATCTTACCTTGTAGTTGCAGATATAGATTCTCTCATTTTTGTATTTTGCTTACTAATTAGAGGACCAACAAGGCCTAACAACACTTCAAAATTAGTTTTTGTTAGTCTACAAAAATTTAAAAAACTATTGGGGTCTTCTAATTGCAACTCCTTAATTGCAGTATGGGAAAGATCTCTCCCAGAGTATCGCCGAAGTAGCCATTGCCGAACCCATATTTTTCTATATCTCTTTATTATTTTGCATTTATTTTTTTTATATTCAGTTAACATTGCAATAGCTACCGCTAAACCACATGCTTGTACTATTTTATCCATTTAGTCTATTAAAGGATTTTATTTTTAAAATTTTTAAGATATACAATTTTTTCACAAAAGTTAAAATATTTTGTCTGTATACATACCGACCAAATTCTATAATATTTTAATTTTGAAATGTGTTAATACTCAGTATTGTAGTCTGAAAATACCTTAAATAATAGTTTAGTCGTTTTATTATTCATGAGAAAAAAAATTCGCAATAAAATAAATATAAAGAAGTAGGAAAGTATAGGTGGTCATGGCCGACTTCTTATAAAAAAGTCTGGTTATATGATAGCTATAGTTTTCCAAAAAATTTACTCATTTTCCTTATAATTTCATTTTCAATACCAAACAATTCTGACTAATGCGGCACTACTGTCAAAGAAACTAAAATTTGCACTTACAGCAAGTGCAAAAGTTTTGACCAAGATGATAAAAACCTAAGAGATTTATATTAGTTATTTGTGTTGTTGTTGTTTGCAAAAGTTTTCTTTTGAATTTAATTTCCGTAATATGGAAAACCAATTATATAGTTTTGGCTATAAGAACTACTACAGAAACAACTATATACATTTAGAATTTAGTTATGTATTGATTTCTTTAAGAGGATGTATGATATATTTGGTTTCAAGTGATTTTGTACTATGAAGTGATCTAGATTGTAGTATTAAAGTTTACACAATAATCAGTGAAATTAATGTGAAATAACAAATAAAAACATTATTTTTCAAAATATCTATAAAACTTAAATTGTATGTTACTTTTCGAAAAAATAATTTGATTTCATTTCATTCAGTCAGTTAATCCAAAAAACCACTTATGGTAAAATAATACAGTTAATCATCTGCAATACAGAATCTTTTACTTTCTTTATAAATAATTTGGTTTTCTTTTGTTATCATGTGCTTGTGTTACCATCCTCTACAATATGAAGATTTTGCCTTTTAAAAAATATTCAATACAAAAAAAATGCTGGATTTTTGTTATTAGTATTTTTTCACGTTGACGACATAGACATATACCTGGCAGCCAATTAGTATAAATAACATATAATAAGTAAGAAATTATAGTCGGGCGTGGCCGACCATATGAAACCCTACACCAATTGCGAATATTAAATGTGATTCATTTCAATAATGAAGCATTTATGTTGAATCTTATATAGGTTCTAAATAACGTCTGTTCATGTACGATTGTATGCTGACTAGGAGAAATAAAAGACCGATTTCAATCATTTTCAACAGCCTTCGTCATTGGATCCAGAGAATAGTATTAGATCCATTTTAACAAATTATATTAAAAATTGCGATCTGTTGCGGGCACACAAGGTTTACATGGTCAGAAAGACGAACATAGCTTAATCGAAGCAGAAAGTGATTCTGAACCGACTGGACAAATATTTTTGAGTGTTACAGACATTAGCACATTGTGCCAACTTTTGGATAAATAGTAGTATATTAGACGTAGTTAAAAGATAAAAGGCCCAAATCGGATGGTCCGGATGTATGGGGGCTAGGGCAGAAATTGATCCGATCCTTATAACATTTATTGTCGGTATTTATCTTTATATAAAGCTTATCTGTGCCAAATTTCATCGTGATACTAGTGCTTAGAAGTAAACTGTGGATATTTAAATCAGACAGATAGTAGTATATTTGACAAAGTCATGGCCCAAAGCGGAAAGTCCGGTTATATGGGGACTAGGACAAAACTTGGGTCGAACCTTATAAAACTTATTGTCAGGATTTATATTTATATAAAACTTATTTGTGCCAAATTTAATCGTGATACTAGTGTCTATAAGTGAATTGTAGTTCAAGTCATTGTCTGACGAGGTCTTTGTATGGGGGCTATGGTCAAATAATTACGAAAATCACTATGTAATTAAGACATATATAAAACTAAATTTTGCAAGTTTTTGTAGAGATACTAGATCAGTTAACATAATTATGAGGTCAAAAGCTCTATTCGGGGGGTCCGGTTGTATGGGGGTTAGGTGAAATAATGGACCGATTTTAACTATTTTCAATAGCGTTCGTCCTTGGACCAAATTCCGAATTTCCAAATTTCTTCAAATGCGACCTGTAGAGTGCGCACAATGTTTACATGGACACACAGACAGACGGACATAGCTTAATCGACTCAGGAAGTGATTCTGAGCCGATTGGTACAAACGCATAATACCCTCCCCACTATAGTGGTGTAGGGTATAAAAATTAAAACTATACATAAAGCTTATTTACTACAAGACTGGCATTCAAATCTATTGATTTATTTCTTCATTTGAAATCGTATGTCCTTGAAATGTTAAGATTCTTTTACAGGGATCATAAACCTTTTATACCCTACACCACTATAGTGGATTTTTGTTGATGTTTGTAACACCTGAAAATATTGATCCTACACCTTAATGTATACCAATTGGCTCAGAATCACTTTCTGAGTTGACTCAGCTATGTGCGTCTCTCCGTCCGTCCCTCTGTACGTCTGTGTGTCCATGTAAACTTTGTGCGCACGCTACAGGCCGGAACCTTTAAGATAATTTGATGAATGAGAGGTACGTCTCATTTATCACAAGGACGAACGCTATTGAAAATGGTTGAAATCGGTCCATTATTTCACCTAACCCTCATACAACCGGACAGCCCGAATAGGCCATTTGAGCTCATAATTATGTTAAATGTTCTAGTATTTCCACAAAAAAAAATTAGTTTTATATTAGTCTAAATTACACTGCCGATTTTTGTAATGATCGGGTCTCATTTGACCCTAGCCCCCATACAAAGTCCCCTCCTGAAAATTCCTTGAATGTCCACAATTCACTCCTAAACACTAGTATCACGATGAAATAAATTTTGTGTAAACACAAATCTCGACACTAAATTTTATAAGGATCGGCCCAAGTTTTGGCTTAGTCCCCATATAACCGGACTTTCTGATTTGGGCTTTTTAATTTATAACTGCGACAAATATACTAGTATCTTCCCAAAAATTGGCACAACTAAGTCTGATATAATCATAAATAACACTGCCAATCGTCATGATCGGGCCTCACTTGATCCTAGCCCCCATACAAAGTCCCCTTCAGAAAATGAGTTGAATGTCCAAAGTTCACTTATAAATATTAGTAGCACGATGAAATTTGGCACAAATAAGTTTTATTTAAACATAAACCACGACAATAAATTTTATAAGGATCGGACCAATTTTTGCTCTAGCGCCCATACAACCGGACCTACCGATTTGGGCCTTTTATATCTTATATACTACTATCTATTCTAAAATCGGCACAATGCACGATGGGGCAGCGATATGGAGACTTGTGGCGATAAATCAAAAATGAAAACTGATTTTTATAAAACAAATGATATATCATTTGAAAGAGGACACTTTTTTGCATAAGATTTGTTCGCAACATTTTTCATAGTAGCTTTGATCTGAGCTCGAGCTGAGCTCAAAGTTGATGAAAAAAACAATTATTTGAAATGTAGTAATAATTCCTGTTTAAAGACCTATACTTCATGTTAATAATATGACCTTCTATTGTAAAAAGACTACCTTTTCTTTACGAGGTTTAATATTACGTATTGTTGAGAATTGATCTACGAATTTTTAAGACATAGTAATGGTTACAGGAGTCAAAATGCACAACTTACTTGAAAGGAAAATTATAATTATTTTTTTTTAAATTTTCAAAAGTTTGAAGGTAAAAAAGTAACACAAATGTCCAAAAATGCCCATAACCATTATATATCCTTTAAAGTAGGGGATGTCTAGAATTATAATCTTTTTTAACATTTTGCGGATTTTTGCGGTTTTTGATTTTTTTCGAGTTTGAAGATATTCATGTACACATAGATTATTTCAACTTGATTTATTTAATAACTGATTTCAATAAGGTTTAAATGCAAAAAGTCAATAATTTTTTCGAAAATTGCTAAAAACGTATAAATTATTTAATACAGAATTTTAAAATATTTTTTTAGAGATGCCACTTTTTTTGTACCTTATGTAGTAGAAATTAACTTGTTTAAGTAAAATTTCGGTTACAATCATTGTTTTATATGGTTTTTGAAATACATTATGATGTCTAAGCTCTAAAATAGATAAAGAATTTAAAAATATATAAGTATTACCCAGCAAACATTCGATTAAAATTTCAGTCGGAATAGTTAGATATCGGAAAACTACTAAATTTGTTTATATATCTCATTAGTATATATGTATATATAGTATAAAAAAGTACATATGTATTCTACGTCCACAGTATGTATGTTCATTGCTGGGAACTAATAAATGCTTGAAGTAGCTAACTTCTGTTAGGCATGAAGTTAGTAATTTAACATCTTGCTTAACCCCCTTATTATCTCAATATTACTTAGAAAACATTCTAAACAAGATTCTAACTAATAACGGCGGTGATGGCTCAACTTTATATAAACGACCTGAATAATAATAATAGATCGGTACACTTAAGGATGGAGATTTCGAATTAGAATATCAATGAATGAATTATAAAACTTTGTAACTAAAACTTTTCCTTTAATTTTGAAGTAATGATTCGAAACAACTTTATCATAAAATCAATGTTGCATTTGTTATTATATTGATAAAAAATTTTGATTACGAGTTGAGTAAGTACTTTTGACCATCAAATATTCAAAGAATTTTGTACCCTGTTAACTTCTTTTAAAATTGACCAAAAATTTTCTTTAAGTGTATTTTAATTTTTTAAC